GAACCTCTCTCCCTTCTACACTATGAAAGCTTCTCCCAGCTGATTGTATTCAGCTCCTCTCAGTGATGGACCAGTCTGGCTCCAAAGGGTCCTACTAGATCCAGACAGCAGGAGCCAAGACACCATAAACAGACAGCCACAACTTTTCTTTTTTTTTTTTAACAAAACCAACACAATACACTACAAGTAAATGAAACATTCAGACTCTCTGCCACGTCATGGCATTCTCCCTATCAAGTGTCTGTTTTTTCTCTGCAAAGCCTCATGGCTATCAGTTCTCTGCATAGCTCTCAACCCTCAACCCACAGCCCTCCTGCCATTGAGGAGTTTCCAGTTTCTCCTGAGCTTCTTGTTTTGCTGCTCTTTCTCTGTCATCTCCCTTCTTGCTGGAACACTTTTCTCACCCAGGTCCCCAGCCTTGTTGAAATGGCTGCCTTTCCACACCGATGGGGATGGTCCCAATTCAGGGAAAACAGTCATGCACTGAAGGAAAGGAAATACATATGCACCTGCTTTGCAGACCAATTAAAATACTATTATTAAGCTAACACTAAAAATACCCCCCAAAAAGAAAAAAAAACAGCGTTATCAGATGCATACATTTCTTACCTTTGTCTTCTCTGCTAGTTTTCACATCCTCTGCTATTCTTTTTAAGGAGGTGATAAGGACACTAACATCAGCACTATGAACTTCACATTCAACAAAAACATCAAGGTCATGAGCAGAGTTCTTGGGCTTTTTGGCTTGTCTGGTTTCAAAGTGATGGATCTGAGTTTCAAATGTCTGCAACAACCAGAGGTTAATATGGCAAAGCTTCTCCAAGGACTGAAAAGCTAAGTAAGTCTAGATACACTTTGAACGTGTCTTTACAAGGTGGCTAAAAGAGGTCTTAACAAGAAGTGCATATTAAGCAATGTAACCTAGTAAGGCCCAGTTTCGAAGTAGCTAAAACACACGCAGAGCTAAAGATTAAATACTATAGAGTTGGGTAGAGAGAGATGGAGATGAAAGATGAGATACAGTCGACTGTGGCACTTCATCTGGGCAGAAACAGCAAATGAGTGACTGGGAAACTCTAAGAGCCTGGCAGAATGAAAGCAGATCTATTGATGTATAATAACACCATAATCATTAAATAATTGCAACAACTAAAAATAAGTAAAAAATACAATACTTTTCTTTTGAGTTTTTCATTTTCCAAGTTAAGATTGAGCACCTGGTAGGGATGCTTCATGTGCCCAGAAATTATAATGCCTGTATAGTTTACAGCTCTTGTATTCTCTGTATCCTCTGCCAAACACACACAGAAAATTTATTGGCTCCTAACATCCCCACAATCAATTTCAAGTACTCATGCTTGAAATGTTGGCCTGTTGTTTAGCAGTGGCTGGTCACCATAACTGCTTGAAAGACACATTAGATTGATATCTGTTCTGACCATACAGCTCTTATGTAAAACAATGGTTCTTCTAAATAACTATGTCCAGCTGCTCCCTAGATCCAACGCACTCTTCTTCTTCACTTGGAGAGGTCAGTCAACCTCTCTGAGCAGCTGGTAGCATAATAGGGACAATGAGAAAGGGGGAAAGCAAGCGGAGGATAAGTCGGGAGCCCAGGCAGGGAGAGGGAGAAGAGTTAAAAGACAGGAAGACAGAGGATGGGAGAAGAAAAGGCAATAGGAGTGGAAAAAGGGGGCTCAGTAGGGGAAGGGAAAGGCAGGCAGGTGGTCTGTACCTCAAAGATTCTGGCTGTACCAGAGAGCTCAGTCTTCCTCACATTGCAGAGGGTGAAGGTCAGAATGAGAGTAGCTCTTCCATCCTCCTTATTGTAGCCCAGGCTGTCTCGTCTGCTCAACGACTCTGTGCCACACATCTCCTTCTCCTTGCTGGCCTCTTTCCTTTGGGTTGAGATCCCCACAAAGACAGTCTTCATTGGGAGACAGGGGAGCGGATTGTGATTGCTAGCTATTGAGTGGAAACTGCCTGAGGATGTGAGTGCTGCTCCCAAGGTAATGGCCAGGAGATGTGGTGGGAGCAGAGCTGCAGCGGGACTATGCGGTTGGCGTGAACAGAGCTGCCAGACAGCAGCAAGGGGAGCTGTTCCCTACTGTGTGAGGTATGGGGAAATTTATGTTGGCTGTGCTGGGCACATCAAGGGAAATTGCTTGCGTAGGTTGGTGCGCAAGAGCCCAAGATAACCCCCCTCCTCTGGGTAACTTCAAAGTGGGGCTCTCCTGCTCTATTTGAAAGTGTCTGAAAGCCATTCACCCTTGGGGATGGGCTCCTTTGTGAAGAGGCAGTTCCTCTGAGCCCTCTTTAGATTTCCCATTCTGGACCACCCTGCCTCATGTCTGAGATTACCCTTCCTTGCTCTCATCTCTTACCTCACTGGGGGCCCTCTCTGAGTTGATCATGCTTCTGGGGATTCAAAGGGGTCCTTCCCCAGCTCCTAGTCCCATCCAAGTGGTGCGCTCTCTGCATAGACACAACTGTGGGAGCATCTTGCCAGGGAGACATGAGCCGGAGTCAAAGCTCTCTGCCTACTGCTGAGCTTTTCCTGCCCTTAGGGTCTGACCTGTCCTGTCCCAGGCCCACAGGGGCTGAGTGCTGCCTTTGGGCTAAGCTCTGCTATTGGAAATCAGGCAGTGCTTGTTTCTATCATGATTTTGCAGGTAGCAAAATAGCTGCTTAAAAATTCCTGATTCATACTCCTCGTGGCTGGCAGGGCACATATGGGGGAGTTTCAGCTGATTTCTTGCCAGGGCAGTGCATCCCTTTTCATACATAACCATGTTGCTGGATCAGACCATCTGTGTCTTCCTACCCCAAGTTCAGGTGAGCTTGGCCCCCTGAGAAAAGCCAGCAGGCAGGCCCACAGGGAAGGCGGTTGCTCTGTATCCCCATTGCAGATGAAGCCATTCCCAATGTGCCCCGTAGCTGATCCTGGCTGGGTCACACACCCGTGTTGTATCGCTCTTGGGTCCTCCCTGGCCAGGGAATTTAGAGCAGCAACAACCAAATTTTGTTCCCCCGAGACCATAACAGCACTGTGTTTCCCCTTGCCCCAAGACTCAATGCTGGGAAGGGCTTGATCCCCCCAGCTATAGGCTGGCCGAGACGAACAACCCCAGGGGCGAACGGCATCACACCGGGCCCAGGAGCCGGGTCTGAGGGTCCCGAGGACCAACGACCCATCTGGACCTCGGGCAGCCCGTGCTTCGCAGCGCCGTGGTCGTGTCGCACCCTCAGCGGAGGGCAGGCCCGGGGACACGGGTCCGTCCCCTCGGGCCGGGCCGGGCCGGGCCGGGCTGCCGCTGTCCGCGGTGCTGAACCCGCCGCGGCTCCACCCCGCCCCCC